GCCTCTACATTTTAGTACTGGTCTGCAATTTTCTAGTTACTCACTCAGAAGCATCTCTTTCAACAGAGACTGACAGTCATGTCTAATTAATTATGCAGTGTTTTTTGTGTGAAATGCACAAATGGGGACTGGGACAAGACTATCAAATTCATTTTCTTCTGATCCATTACCTAAGCAATTATGCAATCTAGCCCTCTGGCACAAAAAGTTCTCATTTCAGAGCAGATTTAATATAAGTATAAAAGTTCAAAGCTGCTGTACCAATACAAGTTCCACCTGAAATGGGAAGTTTCAGAGCATATATCACAGAGGAAACTAAGACATTTATACCTGTACGTCCATTGGAAACAATTACTAGAATAAATTTGTTTTCAGGTTTCTCTAATAGGAATCCATAAAGAACAACATGTTCGGTTCTGGCTGTCGTAAGGAACCTTGGTGTCATCTCATTTTATTTCATCCAGATGTCATCTCATTTTATTCAAGACTACTGGTTGAACCTCACTAGTCCAGCATCCTCAGGATCTGACCGGTGATAAACCAGAGAATTTGCCGAACCACAGGAGGTCAATATTGTCTAGCCGCATTACCAACACTTCTACTGCTTACTGGGCTCTTTAAAGACATTTAGGCATAAATCAGAGCTAAACAACAGCACAGATCACTGAGAGCCAGGACTCATAACTGTAAACAAACTTTATGAAACTGCAGAAAACTTGGCCACATCATAAAAAGTGGACATTTGGCTAACTAAAATTATGCCAGACCATGGATGTTGCCAGAACAGAGAGTTTCAACCTGTACAAACATTGGTTCTTTGTACTCTTTAATATGTGGAAAACAATACAGGCGACCCCTGTCTTGCAACGCGATTGGTTCCTCGGAAAGCGTGGCAAGTCAGGGGCGTCGTAATTCGAACCCTCACTGACGATAGGAGTCGTGAGCTGTTGTAAATGCTGGCCGAGGACACAAGTAGGAGGTTTTCAGCGCCTTCCACACTTTAAAAAAATAGTTGTAAGTGTGTATGGTGGGGGGGTTTGTCACAACTCAGGCGGTTGCAACTCAGGGGTTTCCTGTATGCATTATTTCAGTACTGAAGTAATAAGAAAAACAAAAAGTCATGTAAGCACGTAAGGATGACTCCTCTCAGACAGATGACACTGAAAAGGTAAGAAAGCTGAATATTTGAGAGGAAAGAGCACCACACATCTGGTGGTACAATTATATAGGAGAGATTGCTAGAGAAGGGAAAACCTATATTCCAGACTAGTTCTCATAACATCTATTTTTGCTCTGCTGCAAGTGAAATAGATGAAGTATAACACAGAGCAGTACTATCACTCCCAGAAAACTCAGCAATGAATTTTCTCAGTCCTGTTCTCCTGGCAAGTCTCACCATATCACTATGTTCAAGGGCACTACTGAGCCCACAGTGAACAAACTTAGCTTTAGTTTCTCCTTCCTTGCACAGCTGCTTATAAGGTCTATTTAGTGAGAATAAAGATGACTACCATTGGGAATGCCAGTTCAGACACAGCACTGCTGGGTTAAGGCCAGTCCGGTGCTAGTTCAGACCTGGGGATTACAGGGATTGACAGGCAATGCAAAGATTTGACCCAAATAATATTTTCTGAGAACTGTATTTCCCAGTAGGAGAATAGAGCCCCGATCCCGCATTGTCATCTGCAAGAGCAGTTTTCCTTACGTAGGCCATGATTCTGTATTGTGCTCTATGTAGAATCAGCAATCATTTCATAAGAACAGCCACACTGGGTCGACCAAAGGTCCATATAGTCCAGTATCCTGTCTGCTGATAGTGGCCAATACCAGATGCCTCGGAGCTAATCCTCATGTGATCCCTCCCGTCACCCACCTCCAGAGAAACAGAGGCTAGGGATATCATTGCTACCCATCCTGGCTAATAGCCATTGATGGAACTAACCTCCGTGAATCTATCTGGCTCTTTTTTGAACCCTGTTAAAGTTCTAGCCTTCACTGCATCCTCTGGCAAGGAGTTCCACAGGTTAATTGTGCTCTGAGTGAAGACAAACTTCCTTTTGTTTGTTTTAAACCTGCTGACTATTAATTTCATTTGGTGACCCCTACTTCTTATATTGTGGAAGTAAATAACTTTTCCTTATTCACTTTTTCCATACCAGTCATGATTTTATAGACCTCTATCATATCACCCCAGTCTCCTCTTTTCTAAGCTGAAGAGTCCAAGTCTTTCTAATCTCTCTTCATATGGGACTCATTCCAAACCCCTAATAATTTTTGCTGCCCTTTTCTGAATATTTCACTTAATATGAGGCAGTGAACTGATGACTGGAGGCATAATGCCTTAAGTAGCAAGGGCAGAGCTTCAGAATCCTCTCTTTTTTCCCCTTTGGGGAGGAAAGTGGAAGAGAGTCTTCAACAAAGCTGCCTTCAGAACCAAAAGGATTAGTACACCCAACAATGTAAAATGCACACCAGTAAATAGACAAATGAGAAATACCAAAATTTGTGCTAGCAGTAAAGAATTTATTAAACAGGATTACCAAGAGTGGCCAAGAACTGATTTATGCACTGACAAAAACCACACCTTTGGGCCCATTTTTCAAACCAACTATAGGATTTGTAAGAGAAGACTTCAACATGCAGAAAAATGCTCATATTTGCAAATCCTTAAAAAAAAATCTTCCATTTATGAAGTAGCTGATCAGAAATGTCTCAGTTTGTAGACTGAATGACGTATCCTGAAATGTTGATTTAACTATTTTGTATTAAATGCAAAACCCTACATTAGTACAGTACTGTGCAATGTTATGGTGAAAATTTGCATTTCGAGACTTGTGTTAAGGTTCCAATACAAATATTAACTCAAAACACACTGGGCATAATAAGGTAAGCATACAAGTTAAACACGGTCACTAGTATTTTAAAACACTTCATACATACTGACTGAATTAATATTGCTTATTTGAACTTTCACTTTTCCCAACTTTGCATTTTCCAATTTGCACACACATAAATGCAAGCATTTACAAAGTGCAGATAACTCTTCTTAAATGTTACTTTAAGATGGAAGAAAAGTTGTGTCACTACGTTTTCCATTACTTCAGTAAAGGTATAAAGCTGTATTTGTGGACATAACCATTTACACAAAACTCAAATCATGCTGGAACACTCCAGATCAGTGTTCTGGTATTTTGGGAGAGAGCTAGAATGGCACCCTGGCACTTTTGCCAGTCCTGGTCCAGGCAGTTCCTTTACCTTACCAGCTACAGAACATTCTCTGAGCTGTTAGGTGATCAGGACGGACCGGGGCGCTCAGTGGCAAGAAAACGGAGGGCACCAGGGATACTGGAGCCAGGACAATACAGGTGAGAGAGGGCTGGAGCCATAATGAGCCTGGGGCAGAGATGGAGCTAGACAGCAGAGTTCCCAGCAGGGAGATAAGGTTTAAAACTTAAGTTATTTGCCTGGAGGCCCCAAAGAGTAGTAGGGTCCATGTTGTGTTACGTGTTTTACAGAGTGAAAAGAGCCATTCTTGCCCACTGACTGTCAGTTCAAGAAGGCATTTAACAAGTTAGTCCCTGCACTGTTGAGGCCTCCCACATGGGCAGCTTCATGTACCTTAGCCAACTCCCCCATCCCCTCCAGAATTCAATGTTCTGTATGGGCTCCAGGGTCTGCCTTTATGGAGCAGTTTGGTGGATTGGGGCTTGAAGGCAGGTCTCAGTATGCCCACTTGCACTATTGACTAGGAATGTCAGGTAGTGTGTAATTGCATCAAATTTTAGTGGTTACACAACTATTCCATAGTCCCCAGGGATGGACTGGCATCCAGTGCGCCCCCAACCCTACTCCCAGGGAGCCCCTCCCTGCCAACCCATACTACCACCTCTCTATCAGGGGCAGCAATGTGGGGTGGCAGGCAGGAGACGGACCACAAGGGGAGCCAGTTTAAAAAAAAGCTCCCCACACACACTGGGTCTGCCTGCTGCCTCTGTATCAGAGGCAGAAGTGTGTGGTGGCATCAGCCCCTGTCCCTGGGGGCCCAAATTCCCCACTGACAGAGGCTGATCTGTGGCAGCTGCCCCTGTTCATGGTGGGCCCAGGCTCGCCGCAGTCAGAGGCTGCTCCATGGGATGTTGGAGCAGTCTGTCTGTGGAGAGCTCAGACCCCCTGTGGAGAGTGATTGCTTGCCGTGGCAAGCTCAGGCCCACTGCAGAGAAGCTGCTTTAAGGCGCTCTCCTGCCCTCTCCCCACTGCTGCCTCCGATAGAGGCTCCACACATGTACCAGCTCCCGCGCCGCCCCTCCTTGCTACCTGTGATACAGAGGCAGCAAGGGAGGGGAATGTGTGTAGTCAACAGGCTTGGAAGCCTGGGCTTATCGATTAATCGTGCAGCCGTTTACACTGACATCCCTACTGTTAACTCTGTGTCACTTTCAGTTATCACTAGTTATTTCAATTTTAATCACATGTGCCTCATGATAATCCTTGTTCTCACAGGCACCATAACCTTGCTTGTTTGGGGATCCATAATTCTGGAGGGGTAAGACAACTGGAGACATGGCTGAGTGCATGGACAGCCTTTTTCTAAAGAAACATTTCCCTTGAAACTCAGTGCCACTCCCTTTGTGCTCTGAAACCCATAAACTATGTTATTTTCTAACAATAAAAATCTAGCCAGAAGGACTTTCAGCCTCTACAGGAAGGCAGAGTCCAGGACAACTATGCTGTCTTGAGGTAAGGTTTATCTCCATCGGCTTTCTAAGAATTTATGTAGAATAAATTGCAACATGTAATCACATGACACAAAATTAAAATTAAACTAGTTAGTTTACCATTCTGGTGGCACCATGCTTCCATCCACGTCCCAGAACGTATTTTTGCCATTCATTTCTGTAGTATAGTCAACCCATCTATGTCGACCTTAAATTTGACAAACACCGAATTATAATTTTTCCAAAATAAAAAAAGATTATAGTTAAAAACTCAATAGCACACAACTCCAATTCATCAGAGACAGTATTCTGCTCAGTGGCATCACTGCTTTTTACAAAGCACAGCATATGCACAGATGAGTTCTAGACTAACTTGAAGTGTCATGATAGATATGGACACCGCAATTGGAGTTTCACACAAAGATAAAAGTTCATTTCTGATAGAGTATGGTATAAATTTTTCTCTTATTCCTTCAGGTTTCCCATGCCAATAAATAGCATAGTCCTTCTCCCTTATAAAGCCTGTGTCTGAGAACCTGGTTTCTGAAGGAGCTGTAGTATCAATTAGGGATGTAAAAAGTCATTTATAAAAAGTTAACTGAGTGACTACTAAAAAAAACCTTAGCTTAGCAGTTACATGTGCTGTGGGCTCTGTAGTATAAAGCGTAGCCCTTCGTACTGCACGGAGCATGTGGTGAGCACTCCCACTGCCCTCAGATCTGCATGTAGCATGGAGTGTGGCACGCTGGCAGCAATTCAAAGGGGCCCGGGGCGCCAGCTTCCGCCGCTGCAGCAGTGACTGGGAGCTCCGGGCCCCTTTGAATTGCCAGGCCCTGGAGCAACTGACTCCTTTGCCTCACCCCTATTGGCAGAAGTAAAATGCAGGACTATGTAGCACTTTAAAGACTAACAAGATGGTTTATTAGATGATGAGCTTTCGTGGGCCAGACCCACTTCCTCAGATCAAATAGTGGAAGAAAATAGTCACAACCATATATATGGACTGCCTCTGTGGGTCCTCAGTGCTTCCACTCCCTGTAGAAGGCCACAACATCTAGGCTGCAGCATTGCTATCTGCTGCTATCTTTGTGCCAGCAAGTTTGCAGGTTACAGCCAGCAAAGGCATAGCCAAGCGCTTTCTTCCCTGGCTGCAGCTCCACAAACTGGTCATCCATTTATTGGCAACTGCTAGATAATGGCATCCCCTACATCTCCTGTGACATTCAAAAAGGGAACCCAGCCACCATGAAATTAAGCTACTTACTGCTTTTTTTGGTGGTGGGGAGTGTCTCAGTAGAACAATGGGATAGAATTATGAGGAAAGCGAGTGGGGCATATGATCCCATTCTTGTGGGCCTCCTGAGACCAGAGAACCAGTCTTCTCCAAAACCCTTAGGGAGCTCATCAAAAACCACTCAACTTCTAAAAACCTCCGTATGCAAAAGTCCTAAAACCCCCTATTTTGGCTTCTTTTGGGAAGAAGATCCTACCAAGGCTGTGCGTGGGAAGACAATCAGACTACTTGCAATCAAGGAAGCTCCTTAAACCTCTTGGGTATTTAAGAGACTGATGCTTGCAAAAACTGGTTAAAGCGACTGGGACTTTTCAGTTTAGAAAAGAGGAGACTGAGGGGGGATATGATAGAGGTTTATAAAATCATGAGTGGTGTGGAGAGGGCTGATAAAGAAAAGTTATTTATTAGTTCCCTAAATAGAAGAACTAGAGGACACCAAATGAAATTAATGGGGAGCAGATTTAAAACTAATAAAAGAAAGTTCTTCTTCACACAGCGTGTAGTCAACCTGTGGAACTCCTTGCCAGAGGAGGCTGTGAAGGCTAGGACTATAATAGAGTTTAAAGAGAAGCTAGATAATTTCATGGAGGTTAGGGCCATAAAAGGCTATTAGCCAGGGGATAAAATGGTGTCCTTGGCCTCTGTCTGTCAGAGGCTGGAGAGGGATGGCAGGAGACAAATCGCTTGATCATTGTCTTCAGTCCACCCTCTCTGGAGCACCTGGTGCTGGCCACTGTCGGTAGACAGGATACTGGGCTAGATGGACCTTTGGTCTGACCCAGTACGGCCGTTCTTATGCCCCTCCCTCCCACAAGCCTCCTAAAGTAAAACATTTCCCTAATGAGTCTTAGGTAAGTGGAACCCTAACTCCTACGCCTCTAGCTTCCCTTCTTAGAATGGGTTCAAAGAGGTATGCAAGCACCTAGATCTGCTTGGTGGTGGTGAGAGAGAAAGAGACCGGGTAGCATCCTGCTGTGTGTCATGAGAGCCATGCCAGGGCACTGCAGGTATGTCTGAGCACCTCTTCTTTAAGGCAAGCAGCTGCAGCAGCCTGGGAGGTAGCTGGGAAGGGTAAGGAAGGAGAGGAGAGAATTTACCCTCCGGATTTAGCTCCTCAGGGTCACCTTGGTCACAGTGTCTTTTTTGCAACTACAACCTATAAGCTGTTTGTCTTGGTGTTGACCCTCTGAGTTTATTGGGGTTAGCAGCAGGAAGGCAGGAGGCTGGGTGACTGAGGGAGGAGGGGCAGCAGGACACACAGTGTTATTCTGCAGGGAAAGTTTTTATATTTATCGTGAGAAAAAATTTTAATGGGAATGCTGTATTTAATGGTAAATTCCCACTAACAAGACATGAAATGTTCCCAGTTAAGATTAAATAAGAACTCTAACCAATTTAAAACAACAGAAATTCACTATTAAGGTACTCCAATTAGCTTAAATCTGCCCATTATGATAAATTAGTAAGAGTGGACCCTAAAACACATACAAATCATGTGTAAGGAAACCTTACAATATATTTCATTTCCATTTCACCAGCAAAATCTAAATAAACTATATGAAGTTACTAGGATATTCAGTTTAACAAGCTTACCAAAAAAATACCGTTTGTCTTCATAGTATTTATTTCCATATTTGTCAACACCTACTAGGGCACCAGTTTTCAAATCGTTGACCCTGTGAATTCCCAAGACACAGGCATTTCAGTTAGAAGGAATTACAAACAACACTGTCTTCTTAGAACAAAGTAAAATTACAATTAAGTGAATTTAGAACGTGCATTTATATAATACCTTTAAAATCAAAGGAACCCAAAGCACATCAACACCACAAACTGATGCTTCACAGGATCTAGCCTGTAGTCTATTTCATGAGTAGTCTTTAACCATAGAAATAGTCCCACTGACTTCCTTAGGAAGAGTCAAAATTAAGTTTTTTTGTGGGACTGGTTCCCTATTGAGATTTTTCTTTACTCTCTATTATAATGTAGCGAACTCTGACGCAATGCAACCATTACACAGCAAAAAAGGAATACTACAAAACATTTAAGAGGACATGAGAAATACTGTATCTATCTGAAGTTGTAAGGATTGTAGGAGAGTCTAAATATATCAAAGACACCAGGGTTCAAGTTCCATGTCTTCTGAAAGAAACCATGGGATTTTTAATGTCTGTGACTGGCAGAGATGTTGATTTCAATTCTCATCAAGTACAGTACACAGTACTTAAGTGAATGCAGGACTTGCATATTACTCAGATCAAAATAAAAAATAGGGATGTTAGCAAACTTATTTTTGTAAACATGTAAATGTTCCCTAAGTCACGGGATTCTGTCCCAAGAGAGCTAAATAGACAAAGCACAAGACTTGAGAGGAGCACTCAAGAGACCAGAGAAGAGTCAGGTATAAAGCTAGCCTTCTAGCCGTGACACTAGCTACCGTCTGGAAAGAGGCATTTTCTCCTGTTGTATTTCATGGACAGCTTCTGCTTACCACAAAAACTGTATTCCTTTCTATAGCATCTGGAAGGAGCCAGGTTTATAAAAGTCAACTTCCTTCAAACAACTCCGAATAACTTCAATTTTCCATAAAGTTTCTGGACATTAGGGCACAATGACCCACTATGGCAGCTAGAAATGACAGGGCAATAAGTAGGGCATCATGACCTGCATCAGAAGAGGGGACAGTCTGATGCTTTCCCACTCTTTAGGTGTATCAGGAAATCCCTCTACTATGCCTCCCCAGAATGCAAAGGAGGGATGTATATCTATAGCCTGACAAAAGCGACGAGGAGTCCTGTGGCACCTTATAGACTAACTGAAGTGTAGGAGCATAAGCTTTCGTGGGCAAAGACCCACTTCGTCAGATGCATGTAGTGGAAATTTCCAGAGGCAGGAATAAATATGCAGGCCAGGATCAGGCTGGAGATGACCAGGTGGATCCAATCAAGGAGGATGAGGCCCACTTCTAGCAGCTGATCTGGAGGTGTGAATTCCAAGAGAACAGAAGCTGCTTTTGTAGTTAGCAAGCCATTCCAAGACTGTGGACCCATCTCTACATGCATCTGACGAAGTGGGTCTTTGCCCACGAAAGCTTATGCTCCTACACTTCAGTTAGTCTATAAGGTGCCACAGGACTCCTCGTCGCTTTTGCAGATTCAGACTAACACGGCTACCCCTCTGATACTTATAGCCTGACAGAATCTATCCACAGCTTAGGGTTGTTTTAAAAAAATACTTTACAATATGATTCTTGACTTGATTAGGACTGCTACCCTTCCTCCCTGAAGGAGGAAGGCTTCCCTTTGTGGTGGTGATGTGTATACAAATCTAGAGGAAACAACATGTCTGTTGCCTAGTCTTTGCTGCACTGATCTGCCCTGCTGTGCACAGTGAAGGAGAGCAGGGGAAATGGTGCCAATCTTATTTTTCATTTATTTCACCTTTTTAAATCTGTCCCTATAATTGTGCTTCAAAGGGAGAGCAAAATTAGCTCAGAGATTAGAAATATTTTCACACCTATGGTTAGCAATCTTGTCCTCAAAGAAGATGGGTTTATTAGCCTCCCTTTCCCCACTTGGATATTCTTAACTTGGGGCTCAAGAATGAGCTCCACAGACAGTCTATCCCCCTCTATAGCATGGGATTCACTTGGGCCAGACAGGCCTGTTTCCTCTGGCAGTCCTAGTCTACTATATGAATAGGGACCCCAGTGAAGAAAGGGGGCCCCTTGTAGTGGTGGGTGCAGGAGGGAGCAATGCCCAAAGAGGCCTTATTGAAACACTCTTTGGTTTTATCAGCATCCCACTGGCCTGGAATGGCAAACTGCGTTAGACAATTGCCTAATTCAAACAGTGCTGAAGCCAATATGGGAATTCTTTGTTAAGACAAGGTATACTAAAGAGGAATTGTTCATAGAACTAAAAATAGCTTGGGTACCAGTGATCATGAGTTGATCACATTTATAACGCGTACACAGAATCAAGTACAGATTTGAAACATATATACTTGATGCTTTAGCAGGGCCAGTTTCACAAAGCTGAAAATGATTATCAGCCAAACACTTGGAAGAACGAGTCACTTGTAAGGAAGAATTTAATCAGAAAAATGCAAATGATAATTAGGAATCATTTAGGAACACCTTACTAAATGCTCAAAAAGGCACAATCCCATAACCGAGGAAAGAAGGCTGTGTTGATTTAGGGTAGTGTGATGATGTGGCCAAAAAAGCTATGCAGTTCTGGATTGCATAAACAAGAAAACCTCCAGTAGGAGCAGAGTGCTTATTTCACCTCCACATTAGGCACTGGTGCCAATGCTGCTGGGATATATTATGGCTCGTTCTGGTGCCCAGAAATCAAGAAGGATATACATAAATTGGAGAGGGTTCAAATAAGTGTAAGAAAAAAAATTAAAGATCAGAAAACCTGCTTGTGATAAATAAATGAGCTCTAAGTCTAACTTAACAAAAAAAGGTTAAGATATGACTTTATTACAGTCTACAAGTATCTTAATGGGGACCAAATATTTAATAATTGACTCTTCAACCTAGCAGACAAAGGTGTAACATGATCCAATGGCCAGAGGTTGACTCTAGACAAATTTAGGTTGGAAATAGGATGTACATTTTTAACATGGACAGTAATTAATTATTGGGACAATTTACTAAGGGACACGATAGACTCTCCATCACAACAAACCCGAGCCATTCTTTTTAGGTGACAAATCTGAGGTTTTATTAGAGGAGGTTTTGGAACTAATAAACTGAACAATATCAAGTCACCTGGACTAGATGGCATTCACCCAAGAGTTCTGAAAGAACTCAAATGTGAAATTGCAGAACTAACAACTTTGGTTTCTAACCTATCCTTTAAATCAGCTTCTGTAACAAATGACTTGACAACCAAACAATGTTAAGAATCAATTAAAAAGGGATAGAAAATAAAAACAAAGACTATCTTATTGCCTCTATATAAATCCATGGTACGCTCACATCTTGAATACTGCAAGGAGATGTGGTCTCTTCATCTAATACTGAGAGAGAGAGGGAGAGAGACAGACATTGGAAAAAGTTCAGAAAAGAGCAACAAAAATTATTAGGGGTTTGGAATGGCTGCCACATGATGAGAGATTAATAAAACTGTGACTTTTCAGCATAGAAAAGAAGAGACTAAGGAGAGATATGATAGAGATCTATAAAATCATGACCAGTATGGAGAAAGTAAATAAGAAAAAGTTGTTTACTTGCTCCTATAACACAAGAACCAAATGAAATTAAGAGGTAGCAGATTTAAAACAACAAAAAAAAGGAAGTATTTCTTCACACACCACAAGTCAACCCATGGAACTCCTAGCCAGAGGATGTTGTAAAGATCAAGACTTTAACAATGCTCAAGAAATAGATACATTCATGGATGATATGCTCATCAATGGCTATTAGCTAGGTTGTGCAGAAATAGTGTCCCTAGCCTGTTTGTCAGAAACTGGGAACAGATGACAGGAGATGGATCGCTTGATGATTACCTGTTCTGTTCATTCTCTCTAGGGTACCTGGGATTGGCCCCTATCAGAACATAGGATACTGGGCTAGATGTACCTTTTGTGTGACCCAGTATAGCCACTCTCATGTTCTTTATGTAACAATTTTTAAATCAAGATAGATAAGATCTTTTAGAAAAACATCCTAAGAATTATTTTGAGGAAGTTCTATAGCCTGCGTTATATAGTAGGTCAGACTACATCTTCATAATGGTTCTTTCTGACGTTGGGCTCTATAACTGCTGTTGGAAAGGATCTTGAGTGGTAATCTAGACCAGTGTTTATCAACCTCTTTTTATAAAGTACCCCCTTATAATTTTTTTTAAGTACCCGCAGTATCTAATTTTTAGAAACACATTTTTTTCCCTTCTACCACTGCAACACATTTGTTTAAACAACTTAATCATAGCTGGGCGGGCCATGAAATTTTTGGGTTTAAAAATACAAGAACAAAACACCATAAAACTTAAGACAAAAATTCAGCTTTGTCCAAATTTCAGTTGTGTTGACGTCCCCCCCCCCCAAACTTTTCTCAGGTTCCTCTACCACTGGCTGAGTCCTCATCTAGTCCAGTCCCTTGCACTCAAGGCAGGACTGAGTATTACTTATATTGTAACAAATTAAGAGAGTTACAAGTCTTCTCATCTTGTATCAGAAAAACACTGAACGCTCACCACTAATTTTAGTCCATTTATATGATCCAAACCAGGTTCTTATGAGTATACTTGTATTACTTGAAATAATGCAAAATATTTCAAGAAAGCAATAGCTTGAAAGAAATTTCTTCAGTAAGAAAGGCTCTTGGGACTGATTCCCACTAAAAACAACAGTAACAAGCAAATACTAACAAACCACATCAGGCCTTTTAGCGAAGGGTCTCTCAGCCCTCCGCGGACCATCAAACAAGACTGGACACACTCTGAGAGCGGCATGATCGCAGTTACCTCTCTCACTGCCTAGCAAATCTACCGGCGGCCGGTGCCGCGGGGCCGAGCAAGTCGTTGCCAATACTTGTTTCCACCCGAGAGCAGAGCAGCGTCCCGCCGCAGCCTGACGCCAAAGGGAGTCAACCCCAAGCCC